GTTTTTTTTCCCTACAAATTGAGGTAATTGGAACATTTTGTTCTTCAAAGCATGACATACTCCACCAAAACATTTTGAACAAACTCACATACTAATTCCACTCCACTACATGAAGTGCTGATTTTAATTAAATGTATACAGGTTGAATCAACACTGGCTATGCAAAACCTTCAACCAAAAATTAAGGCCATTCAAGATAGATATGCTGGCAATCAGGTGAGGGATGTTTTTGGTTATTAAGCATCCAGTTTGATCTCGAGTAAATATTGATCTTGTTTTATCTTAAAAAACTAGTATTGCTCTTTCTAAACTATTCGTTTTGTTGGCCCCTTTTCAAGGAAAGAATACAACTTGAGACGTCCAGGCTATATCGGCAGGCTGGGGTTAACCCATTGGCAGGTACTTTTTGCCTTAATTTTGCTGGTATTCTTCTTCAACACCGGTTCTGTATAACAATATATTGAAGCATGAAGCTAATAAACACCGGTCTTGTTTAATAATTGTGAAGCTAATAGAACTAGTATAATAATAATAACTCGATTGTGATTGTGTATGATGACCAAAAAAATATGGCTTTCAATTAGTGGTTCTTACTGCAACGGTAGTTATTTTATTTCATTTTATTTTGTTCATCCATATTGCTCCCTGAACTTTCTTTTAATTATTAGCAATATTATGTTACTTTGGATATTGTACATTCAGCTACTAACTTGTAGGCTCAACTCCTACTGCAATGTCATCAACTTGTATAGGTTGTTTTCCAACGTTGGCTACCATTCCAGTCTGGATTGGTCTCTACCAAGCTTTATCAAATGTGGCAAATGAGGTAATTACTAATTAATGCTATAAACTTTTATTATTTTAGCAGACATTTCAATGGACAAGTTACACACAAAAAAATGATTTTTGCTAATTATGAAAAACCTTTGATTTGAAGGGACTGTTAACAGAAGGTTTCTTTTGGATACCATCTTTGGGTGGTCCTACTACCATTGCTGCTAGACAAAGTGGAAGTGGCATTTCTTGGCTTTTTCCATTTGTGGTAAGAAATATAGTTTTTGTTTCATATGTGGAATAATAAGTTGTAGTTGGTCTTTTTTCCCCTACTTCCATGTGAGTCGATCATTAGACAACAGAGTATATACTATTCACAGCTATTTATTTCGGAATTCATTTCTAGTTGTGGTTCATGTCGTTGAGACCATATAACATGAAATCGTGTATGGCATACAGTACATATGATAAAAAATATTGTAGTCCATAGTTTAGGGCGGTGGTTGTTGACTGTTCACAAGATTTGCCAGGTTCCTTTTCCAATTTACCTATATGATCTGTTATAGCAGCCACTTTTCTTATATTTCAGTGAATATGAGATATGTTCTATTTAGTATTGATTCAAGTTAGGATCAAATATAGTGGTTTTCTCTGGGGGTTTTCATCTGGGCCGAAATTATTGAGTCTTATTGTTCTTTGGTCTCGTTTATCCCAGACTAGAAACAATATGGATTTAGTGAATCATTGTTCTTGTTGGAATGCTTATTACTACATCGATCAGTTGCTTTATGAATTTTTGTGGAGATTAGCATTTGTTAGCTGTGATAGATTGAGTGGTTTGGTAAATGTTTGACAACCTTGGAAGATAACATTATAGTCTTTTAGACTTTGGTATTTCTTCTCTTTTATCGACTCCTTTTCTTTCTTTTATTTTATTAGAAAGAAAAAAAAATCGTTGCTTTTCTTGTGGTGGTGGTTGGGAAGGGGGAGGGAGAGTAGATTTCACTACCTTCTCCCTTCCTTTCCTATGTTTCCTTTCTCGTCAGTTGTAAAACCTGTTGAGATTTGTAAAGATTTGAACTAAATTTGCAGATTGCTTGAAAGAGGAGAAAAAAGAGTCATACATTAAATTGCCCCTAATCATGTCACTTGTTTTTATTTGTTAGGATAATATCATATGTTATTGACAAATCAGAGTTTAATGCTCAATTATCCATGAATCATGATAACCTGAAAGAAGATGCACATTAATTGGTTAATGGTGAAGTTTTTAGATGGAGTGTTTACTTGTTGCAGAAATGTATCAAGAGAAAATAAATGGCAAAATTTGTAAATGGATTTTGTACTTTTTTTGTTGTCATGAATCATGATACAGTATCATAACAAGCGTCTGTTATGCAGGATGGGCATCCACCTTTGGGTTGGCAAGAAACTGTAGCATATCTTGTTTTACCTATTCTTCTTATTGTTTCTCAATACGTTTCAATGGAAATAATGAAACCACCTCAGGTAAACACATCAGTTCTCTTCTGTTGTTTTTTTTTATTTAATTTTTTATTTAATTTTTGTGTTTACAAGGCTGGCCTATATGTCTTCTTTTGACAGACAGATCCTTCTCAAAAGAATTCACTTCTTGTTTTAAAGTTTCTCCCACTCATGATTGGCTACTTCTCACTATCTGTTCCTTCAGGACTAACAATTTACTGGTAAGCTTTTCGTAGATTATATTAATAGTTTAATACTATCCTTTTTAGTCAACATATATATATATATATATATATATATATATATATATATATTATATTTTTTGTTATTT